CCTGCGCCCCCCGCTCCGCCCACCTCCTCCCCGCCACCGTTAGACCCACCGCCGAGAGAGGACCCAGATGTAAGTCATTAAAAAAGTTTCAAATCTATATGTGGTTAAAATAGTACACAATAGTGAGTAAAACATGTTTGATGCCAGCGCTTCATCACTGAGACGGAGCGGCTGGTGAGCGGGGCCGGCACGTCGCCCGGCGCGCCGCTCGCGCACACGCCCGGCGTCATCGGCGCACAGGAGGTCTACAGGGATCCGCGGGCGCGGCGTCTGGCGGAGCAGCAGGCGCGCGCGGCGCCCGCCGCGGTGCCGGAGACGCTCTCCTTCAAGGAGAAGATGAAAATGTTCGCGCTCGAGGCCGGCGACCGCTCCACGCCCAAGGACAAGGTATTACACCACCGCTATCTATACTCTCATTTCAATGACATCCACAAATCAACATTATCTTAGCTTTTTATGAGATATAAACTACAAAATCTATTTATAGAATCTTCTTTATTAAAGGTTAAAATATCGCGAGCGCAGCGAGACATCGACGCGGTGCACTGATCGCCGCGCGCCGACATCCGAACATAGCTACTTAAATAATCGACATACGAAGTATTAAATATTATTTATAAGAGAGTCTTTATAAACGAACTTAATGTATACAACTTATTTATACTCATTGATGTAACTGAAGCTGCATTCAGTCACTGTATTTTATGATTCCTTTATCCGGAACCTCTGTCCGGTAGCCGGCGGAGCTTCCTACGATCCGGGACTCAGTTCACGAGATTGCCTTCACACGAACATAGCACCAATTTACACGTCGATTATAGGATATAAGTAACGGTTTCAAATAAATATATTTAGTGATAATTTGTTAGGATAGTAGTGTAGAGGTCGCCTTAGCAGCTAGTGCACTTGTAGCAGCTACCACGTATACACTTTGAATTATTCAAAATAATATTTTATATTATCTAGAAATTTTGATGGCACATTGAGATCGATAAATTATTATTTAAAATTAAATTATATTGTGTGCCATTTATAAGAAAATTATATTGCATTACGTTTGTATTTTGTATGTTAGAGGTTTATTAAGAGGGAGGACCAAGCGTGCGACGTGGGCGGGTGCCTTTGCGTGGACCTTAATGTCTAATAGAACATATCCATTGAACTTCTCGCTTCACGCTATGAAATACTAAGCTTCATTACATTCCAAAGAATGAGTCTTTATTCTATTTCTATCTTTTTATAAGAATCATTCCTATCGCTCTTCTCGAGTCATCCGTCATAAATTGTGTGTAACACGACGTTTACATTTACATTTAGCAAGTAACATATATTTAGTAATATATTAGATTATTTGTTACTTTTATAAAATTAAAATATTGTAAGTGCTGATCCAGTTTACAATCAACATAAAGCAATAAGAGAATGTGAAGATTTTATGTAAATACAAATTTATTAATAAGCACGTTTGTGCCAAAATATAAATTGTGGTAAAGAAGTGGCTACGCTCTTCTGGCAGCTTGTTGCAGCTCCCCAATGATTTATTGTACATACGTAGCTAAGTCCTGTGTTGAGATTTTTGACCTGTTTGTATATGTAAATGTTTATTTAAAATGAATTTATATGAGGAGTTTACATATGTAGCAGAGTTGTTGCTAGGCAAACAGTAAGAAGGATGTACGTAGTTTAGTTCCTGGATTTGTTTCCAGTCCACACCCAACGATAGTCAATTAGAACTTTTGAGATTTCTTTGTAGAATTATAATTGATTATATATTGTTTAGCTTGTATATAATTTTACGTAACCTAGTGACTACAATATTCTTGTATTGTAATTGGATTAGCAATATCTGTTTCAGAGAGAAATTGTACTATTATTAGATATATCGTACTACAATCCTTACGAAAGATTAAATAAAATAAATTAACTATCACAAATAAATGAAGTTTTCTTACAAACCACTAAATGACCCATCCATTCATCTCATAAAGTTGCAGCAATGTTATGATTTGTGTCCTGTAAATATTTTATTTAATGAAACACAAAATAAATTTAACAGTGTTTATATTTTGTATCGAGGTTAATAATGTGTGCCTGTGGCTTTTGATGCAATTGACTAAGTTCCGCTCGCTCAAGTTTTGGCTGTTACTTGCTCGATGTAACTTGATATGTGTACAAAACAGATAATGTTTTAGAGTACACAAAATATCCACAAATAACACCTGGCTAAAGAAAACAACTTTACTTTTCAAATAACAATGTGCATGAAATCGTACCATGTGACGTCATAACTATCGAATCTAAAAGGTAAGGTTAGGAATTGCAGACTTTTTAATATGTATTTTTAATCGAAAATTTTAAATTATTTTAAACCAGTACTTTTCTAAGCAATTCTTGATAGATTCTGGGTCACATTTTTATTTGAAACAACATATTTTAACCAATACTGAGCGCATATTCTTTGACGATTGCATCTTTACAAAATGTATGAAAAAAGTTGTCTAAAAATGTTATTAACATTCGAGTAAAATATAATTTTTAATAAAACGAACAGAATTGTTACAATAATAAACATATACAGGTACAAGAACAATAACACAGTTACTATGAACCGTGCGAGTGTCCCGACACATCGCTTTGGTGATTTTGTGCACTACGTTTATATTACGCCTACAAATATAAAAAATCCTTTTTTTTATTGAGTAGTTCGTATAAAATACAGATTATATTCAATGGAACAATAATAGTGTTTCAGTAAAGACCGGACAAAACCAGACGTAGTGTGACGTTCCACTTACAAATGATTCATTTTAATAAGTTACAAATTTACATTGTACCTTTATATTGCTACAATGGAACTAACCGCAGATTTCCACTGCTGTAACAATGTCGGATTGTACAAACTGTTTATCAACATTTTAATTGAAGTCGCAAGTATTGCTGCTTATGAATTCAATAAGTTCTATACACTGAGTAAATAACTGTAGAAAGTGCATGTAAATATTTGTTTCGTTTGCACCAATAACTACAAAATAAATTGGCATCGAAGTTTTAGGAAGCCGAATCTCAATAATATGCCTTAGACCTACAACAAATTTACAATTCGTAACAATTCACTACATTATCGTAACGTACTTAATGTTAAAGCTTGTTTTATTTACACACATTCAAGGATTGTTGAAACTTATTGTGATCGCTTACAAAAATATCATACACTTGTTAAACAATAAATGCCAATGGAAATATAAAAACTGTAAAAAATAAAATATCACCGGGTTGACACGTGTATAGTTGTTTTCAAATATCTCGGTGGCCCACATCGGCATATCCTGCTTCGCCCCACTATGCCTAAAATTGTGTGTTAAGAGCCACCGAGATATCTCAAAACTACTATAGCGACAACTGCTGCGGTTCGTTCTCGCCTTATAAAGTAATGAACTTTCAGTTAATAAACCGTAGGTACTTTGTCACAAATTCATATAAAAATACTCATTTACTAGGGTTTCTATATTCTCTCTCGGGCATACAAACACAACGTCTGTCGACACATAAACAACACAAGTATAACAATGGCGGCCAAGTTATTCGAGTACGAGACAGTGATTGCGGAAGATCAATAGAAAAATAAACAGTAATATTTTATTAACTATTATTACCTATAAATATACTCTTAACATACACTAAACAAATAAAATTTGATCGACGCAACAGCGAAGCGGCGCAGCGCCGACCTCTCGGCTTGTGTCCTTAAAATTTGTAAATAATGTATTCCTTTAATTACGAACAATTACTATCTACGAGTATATCACACGCCTCACTCGCTCACTCATTCTCTCACTCACTCGCGCACACGTCACTACATCAACAACAATGGAAGAGTTATCAGAAGCCCTGTTTCTAGAAATAACCTTTTTTTTATGAAAAATATACAAAATTTTCTATATTTATTAATAAACACGTCTGTCGATACCTGTGTACTGGATCAAAATGCGAGCATCGCCACTAAATGTGTACAGCCGTGGCGTCCTCACGGGGGAGTCTTGTGAACAATATCATTCATCAATTTATCAAACAGGTCCGAATAAAAGCGTTCTATTTTTATGATACAATACAGTCCGTATAAGAATAGACAAAATGCATAAAGTTATTGGAAGATATTACGGGGAATGCATTCAGAGTCGCGTATCTGAAATCTTATCACTATGTCGAACTTATAAAAATTGACTTAACAAATATAAAGTATATTTTAGTTAGTCGCGTCACTTATCCAATGCTATGTGAGTGGAGTGTGGCGGGGGGCGGG